TGGATGTAGTTCATCGTCATACTTAGGACTCAGGAGATAAATAGATAGATAGATAGACAGATAGATAGACAGACAGAAAGACAGATAGATAGATAGATAGATAGATAGATAGATAGACAGATAGATAGACAGACAGATAGATAGACAGATAAATAGATCGACAGACAGAAAGACAGATAGATAGATAGATAGACAAACAGACAGACAGATAAATAGATAGACAGACAGAAATACTGTAGGAGCTAGATTGGCGAGGAACCAGTCAAAAACAAAACAAACTTGAGGGAGGCCCAGGTGACTAACAACCCTCGTCTGTGGAAGAACTCTGTCTGTCGCGATCAACAACATTCATATGTAACTTAGATCCTCTTTTATAATAACTGACTTTGTTCTTCTTCTCTTGTCCACAGCCCGTCTTCAGCTGCTCCATGTTTGCGCCTCTGTCCTGTCTCCCGAGCCAAAGCCTTCCTCAGATCAAACTCCCGGAGCAGTGCTACTTCAGGCCGTCCTGGACGCTCATGCCCAAGATGGAGCATTACTCCTCGGTCCTGCACACGCCAGTCCCGACGTACCTCAGAGACGGATACAAGTGAGTCCTCTGTGCGTCTGTTTCAACTGGGCCTTTAAATAAAGTACATTATTTAGATTTATGCAGCTAAAATCTGGAACAAATGAAAACAGTTCTGTTTAGCTGAAGACAACTGAAGGATTGTATCTTCGCTCTTATAATGTTCTGTGATTATTGATGATTGTAAATCCTTGTTCTGTTCTTGCACTTTGAGTTGTGTGTGAACTGTGCGGTACAAATAAACGTCCTTTTCCTTTTGCAGCAGCGTTCCGAGTGTGAGCGCGCTGACGGAGCAGGACTACAGCCAGCCCAGCGTCACCACCGCCTCCGTGGGCACCACTCCAGGCATCCTCCCGTCTCCAGCCACGCCCCGCTTCTCCGTCCCCACTCCCCGCACGCCCCGCACCCCCCGCGGCCTTGCCACCGCCACCGGCTCAGGCCAGGGCTCGGTCAAGCACGACGGTCTGGACTTCTCCCCCGCCTCCACCCCGTCCACCGGCCTCCCCCTGAGCTCCGTGGAACCCCTATCCCGAAGCGGCCCCGCCCTCCCTGAAGCCCACAGCCTCTACTTCATCCTCCTGCTCTCGGATTCCGTCCTCAACGTCTTCAAGGACCGCAACTTCGACAGCTGCTGTATTTGTGCGTGCAACCTGAACGTGAAAGGGGCGGACGTGGGCGTGTACATTCCCGACTCTACCTGCGAGGACCAGTACCGCTGCATGTGTGGGTTCAGCGCCATCATGAACCGGAGGCTGGCCCAAGGCTCGGGGCTGTTCCTGGAGGACGAGCTGGACATCTTCGGCCGAGCGTCGGAGGTCGGGCGCGCCGCGGAGAAGAGGCTTGCCCTGTGCCGCCGCGACCTGTCGTTGGGAGACTCTGGATCCACAGCAGGGCAGGATGAGTCCCCGGCGTCTCCGGCCGTGATGCTGCTTCTCCGGGAGCAGTGTTCAAAGCCCATCTCGTCGCTGGCTTCTCTGCAGACGTCGCTGGATTGTTTGTGTCACGGACGGAAAGGCGCCCTGCTGCAGAGCTGGGCGGCCGAGAAGCAGTGGGCGGACGAGAGCGACGCCTGCGCTGAGGTCAACAGCGCTCTGGAGCAGGGGCTGCAGTACGTGGACAACCCAGCAGGGGGCCACCTGGAGCAGGTTGTGGGCAGAGGCTCCGCGCTGCACCCCTGGCCTCACACCAACGGTTAATGACCCACTGTTATGATTGTTGCTGTTTTAGTAATGTGTGTGTGTGTCTTGTTCTGGTTCAGAATGTCCCCTGAATGTTTCTTTATCTCTATCCCAACAGACATGTTTAAAATTTATATAAGCTAGGAGTTCTTTTGCAGAAACCCAGAGTATAGATTGTATATTTCACACTATTAGACTCACATAAAAGCCTTTAGTTTCAACAGTGATCCTTATAATCAGGTGCACCTTATAGTGATACAGATCGATAAATAAATGAATAAACTTGTTCACGGTCCTGTCTGTGCGCTGCAACACTGAAAGTCCTGAGTAAATGTTCTCATCTGTAGTGGTGGAGATGAAGCTGCTGCCGTCGCAGGACGTGGTGAGGATGCTTCTCTCTCTTCAGCCGTTTCTACAGGACGCCATCCAGAAGAAGAGGACGGGCCGGACCTGGGACAACATCCAGCACGTCCAGGGACCGTTGACATGGCAACAGTTCCACAAAATGGCAGGGAGAGGGTCCTATGGTGAGTCTGTGCTTTAACACGAGGACTCACGGAGCAGTCAAATTGACGGCTTTTAGTTTGGACATTTTAAGGTTTCTTTGTACAATAGAATCCTAACCCTATACAAGGCTTTTTAAATGTGAGTCCATCAACCTTTAATAATAATAATGATAATAATAATGCATGAGTTTTAAACATAGTTCAAAGTCTCTCATTATTCATTCACTCCAAACACTGTGGTGTATGGAGGACCAAAAATGACTAAAGTATAAATAAATAAATGAATAAATAAATACAGGAATATATTAGTGCTGTCCAACGATTAAAATATTTAATCGCGATTAATCGCATGAATTTCATAGTTAACTCGCGATTAATCGCAAATTAGTCACCCATTTGCGTGCTGTGTGCAATTTCTTTTTTTATTGAAAACAATGTGTAGTGTTATATTACACACTAAAATTTGATGCAAAATCATCAATAAATGGATGACAAAATAAATAATTGGTAACAAAAAGCCCCTTCAATGTGTGTGTGTGTGTGTGTGTGTGGAGTGTGTGTGTTTATGGGTGTGGGTGTGTGTGTGTGTGTGGGTGTGTGTGTGTATGTGTGGGTATAGACCATAGACTGTATAGAAACATCATGGTGTCATTATGATGATGATAAACAATTTTTTTGTAAATTTGTTCATGTAAATACTCTATAGTGTTTCTCTGTTTACTTTCGGTATATCTATGACTGTATACTGTTTGCTTGTATTGCCTTTTTTATTAACCCCTCCCCCCCATCTCCCACTTCATGTCCCCCCCCCCCCCCCCCCCCCCCCCCTATGTGCCCTTCTGGGTTTCTTCTTTGGCCCCCTGTATCTCCAACTACATATTGTTTGTAATCTCTGTCTACAATGTATCTTAACTAGTCCTTTTCTTTGTGTCTATTTTTTTTCTGTATATGTGTTTGTCTGCAATAAAAACTAAAAAAAAAAAAAAAAAAAAAAAAAAAAAAAAAATTTTTTTTTTTTTTTTTTTTAATAATTATAAAAAAAATTAATGGCGATAAAAAAAATGACGCCGTTAATATTGATTTGCGTTAACGCGTTAATAACGCGATATTTTGGACAGCACTAGAATATATTAATAAATACATTCATTTTAGACAATAAAAACTAAATATTTACATTGATATGCTATATATTACTCTGAAATCAAATAAATATACTTTTATTTAGGTTATTTATCAATATCTACATTTTTTCCTTTATTTAAAGCTGCACTAACTGACTTTATTTTTTTATTCATTACAAAAATGCTATCCATGTCCATGCAGTGCATTGGGATATACGTCCTTTAGAAGAAAAAGTAGCGCAGATTTGTGCTGGCCTGACATTATATTTTAGATCGAGTTTTGATGAAACAAGGAAGAGAATGTGTTTTGGGTCGCAGATTGTGACCAATCACAGCGGACCACTGGCCCCCACTTTCGTGAGAAATCTACAGGTCCGTCGTTAGCATAGACAGCTGAGTTAGCACAACAAGCGGCGGAGCTAACCTGAAGCTTCCTCGTCTTCGTCACCGGTTACTGCTTACTCAGCGAAACAGCCATCCAAAAGAAAGTCCCGTTCCTCCGCACTTCCCGGTTCTATCGTTCTATGGTCATGCCATCCACATGCAAATCCATATCCATGTATTATCCATATTGGGAGACGCTAGCTCCGTCAACAACAGTGGGTGTGTGTGGGGGGCGATAGCTTCGTGGGTGCGGGGAGGGGAGGAGAAAGAGCGAGGCCAGCGAGTCCGCGGCTTCAAAATCCCAAAGTCAGTTAGTGCAGCTTTAATTATCCATTTATTGCATATATTTATTTATGTATTTCTACATTTCTTCATTTATTTATTTATGTATTTTTGTGTTCCTGTATGCTAATTAGGTGGGCGGTGCTGAACTCAATCTAGAACAGGATTGGTTAGGATTGCGTGAACTCTGGTCTCGATCCTTACTGCCTCACATTACGGTACTCTGTTAGCTAGCTAGAGATCCTCTGTGCACTTTTGTGTGGTATGATGGCAGTTTCGAATGTAAGTTTTTTAGGAGCCATGAGGAACCTGAGGACTATCTACTCTTTCGGCTGGAAAGACTATTAGATGTTTTAGTTCATCACAGTGCTGACCAAGAGGTAGACTTTGATGCAACTTTGCTGGACGCTCTTCAACAAGCTATACAGCAGCTTCACATCCTCTCACAAACCGAGAAGGCTAACTTTGCTTCTGTCTGGTTGCCCTGGCTGACCTACTGCCCACCAATCCTGCTATTGATTGAGTTCAGCACCGCCCGCCTAATTAGCATACGGCAACACAGAAATACATAAATAAATAAATGAAGAAATGTAGAAATACATAAATAAATAAATGAAGAAATGTAGAAATACATAAATAAATATATGCAATAAATTGATAAATAAATAAAGGAAAAAATGTAGATATTGATAAATAACCTAAATAAAAGTATATTTATTTGATTTTATTGTCCAAAATGAATGTATTTATTAATATATTCCTGTATTTATTCATTTATTTATACTTTAGTCATTTTTGGTCCTCCATAGTGGTGCACAGCACATAGAAGAGCTAGTGCTAGTTACCATAGGAACACACTGCTGATTTAGCAGCAGTAAGCTAGTTTAACTGTTTGGCTCCATTTCAAGTTAAATTCACTAGTTTTAGCACAGACTAAAGTGTTGTAAATACAACTTATATTTGTGATTTTTTTTGGAATTCCATACATTTTCCCGTTTAACCGTCAAAGTGACTGTTAGTCCCAGTGTTACTCGACAGAACTCTCACAGTAGATTTCATCACCTTCTTCTCCTGTGTCTCTCGAAGGGTCTGAAGAGTCCCCGGAGCCCCTCCCCATCCCACCGCTGTTACTGGGGTACGACCGGGGGCGGGACTTCCTGTCGCTGTCGCCGTTAGCGTTACCGTTCTGGGAGAAGCTGCTGCTGGAGCCGTACGGAGGTCAGAGGGACGTGGTCTTTGTGGTCCTCTGCCCCAACAGCTCCCCTCTGCTCTCTGCCGCTCGCTCCTTCTTTCAAGAACTCAGTACCGTCTATGAGGTTGGTCCATTTCACACCGTGACGTACCAGAAAGACTACCGCACTCTCTGGACCTTAAGTTGCTACTTTGTTTCTAGCTCTTTGATACTAGCTCTTTGATCCCTGTGGTGTGTATAGAGATGAAGCTAATATGTGTATTTTTATGGTGGTAGTTGTGCTGTTGTCAGAGCAGTATTTTGACTTATTATTTTGAGTTTGAAAAAAAAGAAGAAAGATGCCAGAGAGAGACCAGAGAAAGAGAGAGAGACCAGAGAGAGAGGGACCAGAGAGAGACCAGAGAGAGAGGGACCAGAGAGAGAGAGAGAGAGAGAGAGAGACTAGAGAGAAACCAGAGAGAGAGAGAGACCAGAGAGAGACCAGAGAGAGAGAGAGAGAGAGCAGAGAGAGACCAGAGAGAAACCAGAGAGAGACCAGAGAGAGACTAGAGAGAGATCAGAGAGAGGCCAGAGAGAGAGAGACCAGAGAGAAACCAGATAGAGAGAGAGACCAGAGAGAGAGACCAGAGAGAAACCAGAGAGAGACCAGATAGAGAGAGACCAGAGAGAAAACAGAGAGAGACCAGATAGAGAGAAGCCAGAGAGAAACCAGTGAGAGAGAGACCAGAGAGAGACCAGAGAGAAACCAGAGAGAGACCAGAGAGAAACCAGAGAGAGACCAGAGAGAGACCAGAGAGAGACTAGAGAGAGACCAGAGAGAGGCCAGAGAGAGAGAGAGACCAGAGAGAAACCAGAGAGAGAGAGAGACCAGAGAGAGAGAGACCAGAGAGAAACCAGAGAGAGACCAGATACAGAGAGACCAGAGAGAAACCAGAGAGAGAGAGACTAGAGAGAGATCAGAGAGAGGCCAGAGAGAGAGAGACCAGAGAGAAACCAGATAGAGAGAGAGACCAGAGAGAGAGACCAGAGAGAAACCAGAGAGAGACCAGATAGAGAGAGACCAGAGAGAAAACAGAGAGAGACCAGATAGAGAGAGGCCAGAGAGAAACCAGTGAGAGAGAGACCAGAGAGAGACCAGAGAGAAACCAGAGAGAGACCAGAGAGAAACCAGAGAGAGACCAGAGAGAGACCAGAGAGAGACTAGAGAGAGACCAGAGAGAGGCCAGAGAGAGAGAGACCAGAGAGAAACCAGAGAGAGAGAGAGACCAGAGAGAGACCAGAGAGAGAGAGACCAGAGAGAAACCAGAGAGAGACCAGATACAGAGAGACCAGAGAGAAACCAGAGAGAGAGAGACCAGAGAGAAACCAGAGAGAGACCAGAGAGAGACCAGAGAGAGGAACCAGAGAGAGAGAGAGACCAGAGAGAGAGACCAGAGAGAGACCAGAGAGAGACCAGAGAGAGACTAGAGAGGGACCAGAGAGAGGCCAGAGAGAGAGAGACCAGAGAGAAACCAGAGAGAGACCAGATAGAGAGAGACCAGAGAGAGACTAGAGAGGGACCAGAGAGAGGCCAGAGAGAGAGAGACCAGAGAGAAACCAGAGAGAGAGAGAGACCAGAGAGAGAGAGACCAGAGAGTAACCAGAGAGAGACCAGATAGAGAGAGACCAGAGAGAGACCAGAGAGAAACCAGAGAGAGAGACCAGAGAGAAACCAGAGAGAGACCAGAGAGAGACCAGAGAGAGACCAGAGAGAGGCCAGAGAGAGAGAGACCAGAGAGAAACCAGAGAGAGAGAGACCAGAGAGAGACCAACTTCAGCCATAACCCTTTCAGTCAGTTACTTAATGTCAATGGTTCTTTTGTTGAAATGTGTTCTGTATCGGTTTATGTGACTGAAATAAATCACTATTTCTATAAAATAACAGATACATGTGTAAAAAAAGGCCATATCAGCGTATATTATATGACTTGGACCGTACGCGCGCTCTGATTGGTTGATTTGCGGTCTGATATTTTCCCATCTCGGACCGTTACCATGACAATCGGTCCGCAGCGCGTATCACACTAAAAACACCATAAGGAAAACCAAGTCGGACATGAACATACTTCACAAATATCTCAAAAACATTGGTAAAGACACAGACGAGAGTCATATAATAAAACATTTATTAACCTCGCTTGCTCGGTTTGTACCTTGGCCTTTTTTCACAGACCTCGCTTGCTCGGTTTGTACCTTGGCCTTTTTTCACAGACCTCGCCACGGGTCTGTACATTAAGGCCGCGGTCTGATATTTCTTTGTACAGACCTCGCGCTCGGTTAATAAGCCGTTAATATTATATCAGCGTATATTGTATCTGTGTATATTATATCAGTGTATTGTATCTGTGTATATTATATCAGCGTATATTGTATCTGTGTATATTATATCTGTGTATATTATATCAGCATTATGTTATATCTGCGTCCATCTCTAACTCATCTGTTATTTTTCTTCACAGACATGTCGCCTTGGGAAGCACCGCCCTCTGGCTAAGATCTCCACAGATGGGATGGTCCAGGTGGGGGAGGACCTGAGAGCGGAGGACCTGGAGGACCTGGAGGTGGGACCGTGGGTGAGCGGTCCATGGAGCGGGCAGCAGCACGCCGACAACATAACAAAGCTGAAAATGTATGCTTACGTTTGCAAAAAGATACTGGGTAAGAACAGCGTACTCCATGTCCTCTCACATTCACAGAGAAAACACAGTGAGACAAAAACAGTATTTAGAATCAGCCGCCAAGAGGAGACATGTGTGTACTGTGGCGCATGGGGGTGGAAACATCAGGGTTTGGGGCTGTTTTCTACAAAGGGACCAGGACGATTGATCCCTGTTAAAGAATCAATGAATGAGGCCATGTAGAAGAGAGAGGCCAGAGAGAGAGGGAGAGAGAGAGATACCAGAGAGAGAGAGAGAGAGAGGCCAGAGAGAGAGAGAGATACCAGAGAGAGAGAGAGGCCAGAGAGAGAGGGAGAGAGAGAGATACCAGAGAGAGAGAGAGAGAGAGGCCAGAGAGAGAGAGAGATACCAGAGAGAGAGAGAGGCCAGAGAGAGAGAGAGAGAGAGAGAGAGAGAGGCCAGAGAGAGAGAGAGAGAGGTACCAGAGAGAGAGAGGCCATTGAGAGAGAGAGGCCAAAGAGAGAGAGGCTGGGGAGAGAGAGAGGCCAAAGAGAGAGAGAGAGAGGCCAGAGAGAGAGAGAGAGGCCATAGAGAGAGAGAGGCCAAAGAGAGAGAGAGAGGCCAGAGAGAGAGAGAGAGAGAGGCCATAGAGAGAGAGAGGCCAAAGAGAGAGAGAGGCCAGAGAGAGAGGAAGATACCAGAGAGAGAGGGAGAGGCCAGTGAGAGAGAGAGATACCAGACAGAGTGATACCAGAGAGAGAGAGAGAGAGAGAGAGGGGCCAAAGAGAGAGAGGCCAGTGAGAGAGAGAGAGAGAGAGGCCAAAGAGAGAGAGGCCAGTGAGAGAGAGACCAGAGAGAGACACCAGAGAAAGAGAGAGACCAGAGAGAGAGATCAGAAAGAGACCAGGAAGTTTCATTTATATTTCTTAATCTTAGGTATTAAAAGATTGAGTCACTTTATAATTATTACAGAAGTAAAAAAAAACATTATTTTATGATTCTATTTTATCCTAAACAATATATTCCCAGAGCCTTTTATCTCCTTCTCCACGTTCTCAGTTGGAGCTGACTAAATACTGTTTTGTCGGTTCGTACTAAACGCTGTGGTTCTCTTTCAGGTCCTCAGCTCTCAGCCCTGACCGTAGACGCCACTCTTCTTCTTCCTCCTAAAACTCGCACACATCAGTCTTCCTCGACTCAGGTCCCGTCTTCGTGCGAGGTCAAGGACTGGTCTGCAGAGTCCGAGCAGGGGTCTGGGTCCAGCGGGGTCCCTCCTGGGTCCACCTCAGGTCCCTCTGCAGACCCAGGTCAAGGACCACCCAACGATTCGACGGTAACTTCAAACGTGACGGTGCGCAGCCAATCAGCGGACGCCACAGAAGTGTAAGAATGCACTTGGATCTTATCTTGGGTTTGTGATCATGTGACTCAAAGGGGGCGTGGCAAAGGAGCCGTGAGACAGGAAGTGACTCTCTCCCATTAGTTAGACATCAGAATCAGAATCAATTTATTTCCATTTGCAGAATTCACTACGTTGGAATGCAAACGGGAGACACCACAAAACACACACACAGACAAAAATAATAAAAATAAAAAAATAAAACTCTTAAAAGCATGATTAAGAAACTACAAAGAGAAGCAGATCTCAGGACGCTCCCCAAGGGAAGAAGCTGGAACAAGGCTGCTCCAGGAAGAAGCTGGAACAAGTCCTCTCTGGGAAGAAGCTGGAACAAGGCCGCTCCAGGAAGAAGCTGGAACACGGCTACTCTTTGAACACATTTTCTCAGCTTGGTGTAACTATTATTTGGAGTAATGACTATTTTCATTACTGTGTACGGTGTGAATGAGTTCAATATTTTCAACATGAGGAGGATTAAGAGTCTGTTGTAGCAGCGACAGTGGAGTCTGGGATCAACAAAACCACGCCAGAGATGAAAGTTATGATCAATCATTTCATAAATAAAGACATAAAGGTAAAGGTAGGTCTTAAAGCTACTCTGCTACAGCTGCTACACGGATGATGCATTTTCCATTCATTCTCAGATGCTACAGCTGCACAAGCCTCAGAAAAAGAGCATTTTGACTCAGAATCAGTGAATATTTATGTGGTTCTTAAAGGAGAGATTTACTTCCTGTCGCTCGGAGGACTTCAGCAGCAACTCAGCAATATCTACTTTTTCTGTTATTTCTTTAAATGAGAAACGACTGCTGCTAGTTCGGTTGTAAATAAACCTTACTTACTTTAAATGAATGTAGTTTTGTGTAATTCACTTCTGCAGACCATCAGAGCCGTCTCGAATCGGGATCCCTACGATGCCAGAGTCCGCCGACGGTCACATCAACCCTCCGGCCATCGCCGTTTACATCGTGAATCCTTTTTCGAGTCTGAGCGGCTCCAGGTGCGACGTGGGGGAAGAGGATGTGGGCGAAGAGGAGGACTCAGGGAGCGTGTGGCTGCTCGGCCTCCTGCGCTGCTACACCGAGATGCTCCAGGCCGTGTCCGACACCATCAGACCATCGTTACTGCTGCAGCTGGTCCCGTGTCACCATGTGCTGCAGCCGGCGACCAGCGAGAGTCTGGAGTTCATGCAGCAGCTGCGCTCTCTCGCCTTCTCCTGCTACTCTCAGTGCAAACCCATGTTCCCCCGCCAGGCTCTCATCAAGTCCCTGACCGGGTTCGGCCCCGCCTCCTCCACCAACGCAGTGCTGACCAGTCCAGAGGTGAGAGTCCAGGGGTGAGAGAGCACAGAGGGGAGAGACCAGGGGTGAGAGCCCAGAGGAGAGAGAGCCCAGAGGTGAGAGTGAGAGTCCAGAGGTGAGAGACTCTGGTCCTTGTCCTGGTTCAGCTTGATTTCCTACCAGAGAGAGTGAGTGCGAGTTAGCATAGCAACACACACTTTACTTGACAGCAGTTAGCATTAGCAGTTAGCATTAGTAGTATTAGTAATAAGTAATCATTATTTATATACCGCCTTTTCACTGCACATCGGAGTCTCAAAGCGGTTTACAATTGTTATTTTTGGGAGTGGGGGTGCCAGTACAGGAGGCACATGCCAGACCTATTGTACATAGTTTTAGTTGTAGGGGAAACCGGAGTACCCTGAGGCAACCTACGTAGACACGGGAAGAACATGCAAACTCCACTCAGAAAGGCCCTGGTCCAACCGGGATTCGAACCCAGGACCTTCTTGCTGAGAAGCGAGAGTGCTATCCACTCAGCCACCCATTAGCAGTGAGCATTAGCAGTTAGCATTAGCAGTTAACATTAGCACTTATAAATGACACGGGTTTGAATGGGAGCAGTTAAGATTCCGGCTTTGTGAGTTCTGGTAGTTTCAGAATCCTGTAAACAACAATAATCATTCATCCAACTTCCCTCTCAGCATTCCAGCCCCTCGGAGCTCCACTCTCCCCCTTTCATCCTGGGCCCAACTCGCCCCAAACCCGCAGAACCTGGAGAGATATGGCCTGAGGTTCCACCAAAGTTTAACGTCCTGTTCGTGGGCTACTGTCTGTCACATGACCAGCGCTGGATCCTGGTGTCCTGCACTGACCAGCAGGGGGAGCTGTTGGAGACCTGTATTATCAACATCGACGTCCCAAACAGGTCTCGCTCTCATTATTCAGACTCAGGACTCGGGTTTAGTTTAAATCAATCACGGTTTTGTTTTTTACTCAGAGCCCGAAGACCAAAAGTGTCGGCGAGAAAAACGGGACTCCAGAAGCTGTGGGAATGGTGCATCGGCGTGATCCAGATGACATCAGTGCCATGGAGGATCGTGATTGGTCGACTCGGACGTCTGGGACATGGAGAGCTGAAAGGTGAGTCACAAAGTTTGTGTGTGTGTGTGTGTTTATATTTAAATGTGTGTGTGTGTCTGTTTACTTACTATCTACCTACTACTACTATGTATATGTGTTTGTATTTATTTGTGTGTGTGTGTTATGTGTGTGTATGTGTGTTTGTATTTATACAGTACAGACCAAAAGTTTGGACACCTTCTCATTCAAAGAGTTTTTTATTTTCATGATTATGTAAATGGTAGACTGAGACTGAGGGCATCAAACCTATGAATGAACTCATGTGAATTATGAACGTAGTAAAAAAGTATGAACCAAGTGAAAATATGTGTTATATTCTGGTTCTTCAAAGTAGCACCTTTTGCTCTGATACTGCTTCACTCTTTGCATTCTCTGGATGAGCTTCAAGAGGACCTGAAATGGTCTTCAACAGTCTTGAAGGAGTTCCCATGATGCTTAGCACTTGTTGGCCCCTTCACTCTGTGGTCCAGCCCCAAAACCATCTGGACTGGGTTCAGGTCCAAAATCATCTGGACTGGGTTCAGGTTCAAAACCATCTGGACTGGGTTCAGGTCCAAAACCATCTGGACTGGGTTCAGGTCCGGTCTCTCTCCTTATTGGTCAAACAGACCTTACACAGCCTGGGGTGGGTCTACAGCAGGGGTGCTCACACTTTTTCAGCATGCGAGCTACTTATAAAAGGATCAAGTCAAAATGATCTACCTACTACAAAAATGCAAATCATATATTTCAAAAAATATTCTTTATATCTACAATGTATGTTTATGTACATGCAAAACCGCATGAGCCAATATAGCACAACACAACACAATTACCGATGTACATTTTTTGTCATTACCCGAGTTTACTCTTATGACTTGCACTGAATTGAATCGGCCAGGGATGCATAGTCCGGAAAATTGGTGGTAACTCGCTGACAAGTTTGTCGTGGTTTAGCTTTCCTGCACTGAGCGCGGTTGTTTGCGCATGTGCAGTTACCTAAGTGTCAGTAAAACATTACTGAGTAAAACACAGATGTCATTTGACTGTGGTGCCATGTCCATGTGCCATGCCTGTTTTTTTTTTAAATCCAAATATTTCCCCTCCTTAGTTTATAAAATAATTTGCATCCACACATCTGCGTTATCAATCACATTCGTAACATTCCAAACATGTGCGTCTCTTACGTCCTGTCCTGCGTTGGGGAAAAACACAGAAGTGGGCGGAGCTTTGATGCAGACGCCGGTAACGGCACTTTTACAGTCATAGAAGACACTCAGAGTAAAGAGTAAGACGTATGTTTACAAGCACTGACCCCGTCCTCAGCCCTGGTTTAGTCCTGGTTTGGTTGTTTTCGAGCGTGAGTCCCCGCGATCACTTTGCTGCTCTCTGATGTGGAGCGAGGGTGTTCGCTGCTGCGAGCATCTCACAGCGAACAGTTTTTAAGGTAGTATGATCCATGCTTCAGTGATCAGAGGAATTTAGGGGGGTACTGTGGCGTGCGAGAACGCAAAACTCCGGTTATCTCTGTCTACACACAAATGCATTAACGGAGTTTTCAAAAATCTCCACTTTGCCCGGAGTTTTTTGTATATATTCGTTTAGAATGTGTAATTTTTTATTTATTTAATGCGATCTACCAATACTACCTTTGTGATCGACTGGTAGATCGCGATCGACGTATTGAGCACCCCTGGTCTACAGCAATAGTCATGAAAATAACTCTGTGAAGGAGAGAGGGTGTCCACACTTTTGCTCTGTACTGTATATGTGTGTGTGTGTGTGTGTGTGTACATGCATACAGTATATCTATCCACCTACCATATAACTACACACACAGACATTAAACAGAGCATATGTGTCCAGAGATGATGACAGATGGATCTTTAAGAGTTGTGTGTCTCTCTCAGACTGGAGCTCTCTCCTCGGGGAGTACTCTCTCCTGTCCATAAGCAGAAAGCTGAAGGAGTCGTGTCGAATGTGCGGCGTCTCTGCGGCTGACTCTCCGTCCATCCTCAGCGCCTGCCTGGTCGCCATGGAGCCCCAGGGGTCCTTCGTCATCATGCCTGGTCAGTAGAAGCTGATGGTGTCACTGGGTTTAACTCACTCTGGTCTCTCTCTGGTCTCTCTCTCTGGTCTCTCTCAGGTCTCTCTCTCGTCTCTCTCTGGTCTCTCTCTGTTAGTGTTTTTGACCCATTCAAGGTCATTAGACAAAGTTAAACCCAGAGAGACCAAAGAAAGAAACCAGAAAGAGAGACCAGAGAGAGACTAGAGAGAGACCAGAGAGAAAACGCAGAGAAAGACCAGAGAGAGACCAGAGAGAGACCAGAGAGATACCAGAGAGAGACCAGAGAGAGAGACCAGAGATAGACCAGAGAGAGACCAGAGATAGAGCAGAGAGAGAGCAGAGAGAGAGACCAGAGAGAGACCTGAGAGAGACCTGAGAGAGACCAGAAAGAAGACCAGAAAGAGGGACTAGAGAGAGAGACCAGAGAGAGGCCAGAGAGAGAGACCAGAGAGAGAGACCAGAAAGACCAGAAAGAGACCAGAGAGAGTCTGAATCAGTCCTTGTTGCTGGTTGCAGACGCTGTGACCATGGGTTCGGTGTTCGGCCGCAGCACGGCTCTGAACCTTCAGACTTCTCAGCTCAACACTCCTCAGGACGCCTCGTGTACACACATCCTGGTGTTTCCCACTTCTGCGACTACACAACTCGCCTCCAGCTCCTACCCCAGCGAGGACAACAACGGTAGCACAATACACACTCACACACACACACACACACAGAGCTCCTACCACTGCGAGTACAACAACGGTAACACAATACACACACACTCAGCTTGTCCCCTTACGAGGACAACAACGGTAACACAACACACACACACACAACTCGTCCCCAGCTTCTACCCCAGAGAGGACAACAACGGTAACACACAAACACACACGCACGCACACACAATATGCACACACACAGCTCCTACCCCAGCGAGGACAACAACGGTAACACAGCACACACACAATATGCTCACACTCTCACACACAACATGCACACACACACACAATCCCACACACACACACGCACACACACACACAATCCCACATACACACATGCACACACACATACAAGTACACACAGCTCCTACCACAGCAAGGACAACAACGATAACACAACACACACACACACAGCTCGCTCCCAGATACTACCCCAGCGAGGACACACACACACACACTCACACACACACACTCACACACACACACACACACACACACACACACACACACACACACAGTAAACTCATGTTAGTAGAAGCCCACTAAGCAAGCCGACGTTGAATCAACGTAATTTGAACGTCGTTGTCCGACGTAGAATATAGGTCACTGGTGGGTGCAGAATGGAAGTTTTCTCGACGTTGTTTCCCGACGTCACTTCAACCTCCAAATGTTACGTTGATGGCACGTCAATTCAAGGTTTGAATGTGGTACAGAACCGGTCGGGTCTGACGTCCTATCAACGTCTCATATGACCAAAATATTGCCTTCATATGACGTTCGTTTTCCGTTGTTCCCACTAAGCAAGCAGATGTCAAAACTATGTCATTTCAACGTCATCTGGACGTTATCTGGACGTTCAAATGACGTCGCGGCCACTTCATTCAAGGTTGCAATGTGGTACAGAACCGGTCGGGTCCGACGTCCTCTCGACGTCTTATATGACCAAAATATTGACGTTTATATGACGTCCATTTACAGTCCTATTGACATACTTAACCTCTGCAGAATCACTCACTGGTCGAGACATACTTTTTGTAATAGGCAAGGCAAGTTTATTTGTATAGCACAGTCAAAACAAAAGGAAACTCAAAGCACTGAACAAAAGATAGAAACAATCAAACAAGGCATTACAATTATAAATATTGACTGTAAATTAAAAAGAAACAAATAAAATCTCTCATAAAATCTCTCAGTTGAAGCAGAAACAGAAGTGTTTTAAACTTGGATTTTAACATTGTCAAAGAAGAAGCCTGTCTCACATTTCCAGGAAGACCGTTCCAGATTTTAGCCTTGTGAATCTGAAATGCAGCTTTATCATGTTTAGTTCTGACTCTGGGCAATAAACGATAAACACAGCATTCAAAAATCATTAGAACAACTGTAGTAGAAGGATATCAGTCATTATTGCAAATGGAGCTGCATTAAAAATCATGTTTCTCTACATCAAAGTACAAGTTAAAGCACACAGGGCACAGTGTTATGAACACTACTGTACTGAACAGTTCATGCCAAAGTAAAAAAACATGATTGTAGCGCCTATGTTTGGATCAGTATTAAAACAGGCACAAGCTACACTCTAGGTTCCCCAGATGTAAAAACACAATCTGAAAGGCAGAAGAATGCATTTATTGAATTTTGAGGTTCCAACATGTGTCCTCTCTTGGTCTTCAGTCTCGTTATAAGGTCCAAGCACAGCACCTGAAAATGTGGAACATGTTTAGTTTCAACATAATGTGGCAAAGTGATATAACAACACATAACTTTCTATTAATGCCTCAAACCACTCAATCCATCACCATGTGATACAAACCTTGGCACTGCACTAGCTCGAGACACTGGAAGACACTCAGTCTGAGAAACTTGGGATAAGGCTTTGGTCATTGGAGTAATTCCATGTAAAAAACAATTGCAAATGTGCATTTGTTTTGCACATGGACACAAATGAGCCCTGAAAGCTACTTACCCTGTATTACTCTATACATGTTGCATTTCCGAGGGGGCATTTTCCCCTTGTTGCTCTTTTCCCTCATCTTGAGTGAGTTGCTGAACAATCTGAGAAAAAGATAGATGTTTTCAAAGAGAATACACCAAATAATGGTTTATTCTAAAAACAACATATTAATACAGAACAACAATCAATGTGTGAGAGTGTGATTCTTACCTTTGAACACCTTCAACACAGTCTGACACCTGTAAGACTGAAACACACATGACACATTAGGAATACACACAGAACATTAGTTATTGCAACAATCATGAAATTATACTCTATGGATTTCACAATAATTGACTGCATTAGCAAAGGTAAATGTATTTTAATTAACATATGGCTGGTTTTAAAGTTTATAAGAAAAAGTAAGACATTGAATAGAGTTGCAAGCGCTAGTTAGCTTGCTACCAGCAGATGAATGGATATTTAATATTTGCAGCTAACAATAACAAAAATAACAACTGTAGTGGCTCATTTAAACAGCCACAGTGAGAAGAAGTGAAAGTCTCTGACATTGAAGACCTGGGAAGACATTAAATCAATTTATTAAACAAAGCAATACACGAACATTAAACTCTCTTTCTGCAGCAGGTAATATCTGTGTGCTCCTATGGTCCCACATGGTCCCACATGGTCCCACACCTGAACTCAACTCCAACTGATGACATCACAGGTGTCTAAATGATGGGAGTGTCCCAAATAGTAAAGCTGATCTCCCTGTTTTTAAACTTAGTTTACTAAGTACTGTTGTCTTTTTGCAGTTTATAAACCATTGTGAAATATACAGTAACTTTACATTTTAGAATTGAATTATTATTTTAAAACTCAAGAATCTTAACCTTTTTTAACAACATACTTTGTTGGACAGTCTAACCTAAGAATTCTAATGTGTTAAAAATAGTTTGAAATATGAAAAACAATATCATATTTTAAACTTTAACTTAAAAACTAAAAAAAAGGTGTCTCCCTTTCAGCTGAGCAGTGCCAGCCGTTATTATTATAGATTCATGCACTGGCAATTCAAAATACAGATAATATACAAAATATACTTAACAAAATCCACGTATACGTGAGAAAACAACTTACTTTCTGTCTCCAACTCTTTTCAATGTGGAAATGATACATCTATATCTAAAAACTGTGCAGACTGTGTACTTACTAGAGAGGATGATTCCAAGTAAATAAAGCAGGGCAGCGACAGAGGTACAGATTCAACGTCATATCAACGTCTGGGAAGACATTGCTTTACGTCCAGATGCACACCTTACGTCGTTTAGACGTGGAAAACAGGTCCTCGACCGAGCGACTCACGTGTCAGGCTGTAACCTCGCCTAAGTGTGCGTCGGTTGTTTAGGGTGTTATCTATTATTTTTTCACAGTAGTCAGAAAAAATGCCTGGCGGTGGTGTAGCGGTTGCGTAATGAGACTTCAGTTGCAACGACACGGGTTCAAAAATCCCCGTCGGAAAACTTTTGACTTTTCACTTTTTAGCGAACAATTTTTCTGTTTGGTTAAAAACGAATAAACACTCAACATAAGATTATGTAGTGGCTAATAATAAAACTTGTGAACCCATGCATTTGCATAAAATCTCAAGTGCTCACCCCTTATTTGCAAACTTGAGATTGTTAGCACAACAAATGCATACATTCACAAGTTTTATTATTAGCCACTACGTAATCCTATGTTGAGTGTTTATTAGTCTTTAACCAAACAGGAAAAAATTGTTCGTTAAAAATCAAAACAAATATATAAAGATAATAATACACACACGTGGGCTCGAACCCACGTAACCAAGACTGCAAACGTTTGCTTAACCACTACACTACCGTCAGGTTCACTTATATTGCTTCACAGCCTATATATTGTATTGCTAGATCAAGACGTACTGCGTCGGTCGGCCGATGACCTGTTTTCGACGTCTAGGGGAGGTCGGGATTGAACGTCATATCCACGTATATGGGAGGTCATTGTTTTACGTCCAGATGCGCACCTTGCACAGACGTCGTTTGGACGTAAATAAAAGGTCACGACCGACCGACGCGATATTGACGTGATCTGGAGGTTGAGTGGACGTCGGATGTTTAGTGGGAGAGGACCACAACACATGACAGGAGGGCCACAGTTGGCCCCCGGGCCGTGGTTTGGACCTGCCTGTAGAACATCTGAACACAGTCACTCTGATCTCCTTTTACACATTAAACATGGATCATTATGTTTATAGATATAGTTATTATAGTTATTATAGTTATAATAGTCATAGTAATTATAGTTATAGTTATTATAGTTATAGTTATTATAGTTATAATAGTCATAGTTATTATAGTTATAGTTATTATTGTTATAGTTAATATAGTTATAGTTATTATAGTTATAGTTATTATAGTTATAGTTATTATAGTTATTATAGTTATAGTTATTATAGTTATAATAGTCATAGTTATTATAGTTATAGTTATTATAGTTATAATAGTCATAGTTATTATAGTTATAGTTATTATAGTTATTATAGTTATAGTGATAGTCTTGTCATAGCTGCAGATGGCCAGCAGGGGGTGCTGCTGTGTAAAGCCTGACCCTGTCCTCCACAGACGACATGTTCGACCTGCCGTTCCCTGATGAGCTGGAGAATGACATCGGCCACGACATGATGCTGATCACGGGGAACCTGCACCCCTCCCCCAGCGCCTCCCCCCTGCCCTCCCCCGCTCACTCCCCCGCCTCCCCCTCTGGCAGCGGCATGGGATCACATTTCCACAACAACAGGGTGAGACTTTGGAGAGACAAAGTGGGCCGCCACAAGGACCTTATGATGCCCAGGGCAGCTGCGGCTACAGCGGACCACCAGAGAGAGATTAGAGAGAGACTAGAGAGACCAGAGAGAGAGACAAGAGAGAGACCAGAGAGAGAGACCAGAGAGAGACCAGAGAGAGAAATACAACTTTCTAACAAGTTTTCATTCTGTTTTTTCCAATTCTTTTTGTTGTAATTATTTAAAGATTATATTATATTATTGTATGATATGATATTATGATATTATTCTGTGGTCACTATGTCTCTGTGTGGTCCCTCAGACCCAGAGCGAGCGGCTGATGTCCCGGGACAGTCCCCCGGAGGAGTTGAAGCAGCAGCCTCTGGCCCTGGGCTACTATGTGTCCACCGCGCAAGCTAACGGCCTCCCTCACTGGTTCTGGGCCTCGTGTCCTCAGGCTGAGAACCAGTGCCCTCTCTTCCTCAAGGTACAGAACACACAACACCCTGTGTTTAAGCACAGTTGATTAGTGTGGTGTTTCCCTTTGGCAAATGTAGTTTCAAGAGAAATGTTTCTACCAGTCCTACTTGGCTTTACCATAGTCTACTCTCTCTCTGGTCTTTCTCTGGTCTCTGTGGTCTCTCTCTTGTCTCTCTCTCTGGTCTCTCCCTCTGGTCTCTCTCTGGTCTCGCTCTCTGGTCTCTCTCTCTTGTCTCTCTCTCTGGTCTCTCTCTCTGGTCTCTCTCTCTGGTCTCTCTCTCTGGTCTCTCTCTGGTCTCTCTCTCTTGTCTCTCTCTCTGGTCTCTCTCTCTGGTCTCTCTCTGCTCTCTCTCTCTGGTCTCTCTGGTCTCTCTCTCTGGTTTCTCTCTGGTCGCTCTCTCTTGTCTCTCTCTCTGGTCTCTCTCTCTGGTCTCTCTCTCTGGTCTCTCTCTCTGGTCTCTCTCTCTGGTCTCTCTCTCTGGTCTCTCTCTCTTGTCTCTCTCTCTGGTCTCTCTCTGCTCTCTCTCTCTGGTCTCTCTCTCTGGTTTCTCTCTGGTCTCTCTCTCTGGCCTCTCTCTGGTCTCTCTCTGGTCTCTCTCTCTGGTCTCTCTCTGGTCTCTCTCTGGCCTCTCTCTGGTCTCTCTCTGGTATCTCTTTAGTCTCTTTCTGGTCTCTCTCTGGTCTCTCTCTTGTCTCTCTCTGGTCTCTCTCTCTGGTCTCTTTACACCCATATCCTGAGTCCAGTCTGAACCAGAAAACAAATGAGCGGTGTCTTTTGTGCTCCTGCTTGAGTAGAACCATGTGTCTGACAGTGTGCTGGTGCGTGTGATGTGCGTGTGCTGGTGTGTGTGTGTGTGTGTGTGTGTGTGTGTGTGTGTGTGTGTATGTGTGTGACCTCCAGGCCTCTCTCCATCACCACATCTCCATCGCTCAGACGGACGAACTGACGGAAAAGAACAAGAGAAGCCCTCACCCACTCGACTCCAAGACCACCTCTGACGTTCTCAGGTACCAGACACACATACCATATCTCTCTCTGATCTCTCTTGTCTCTCTCTGATCTCTCTCTGGTCTCTCATGGGTCTCTCTCCTTCTGTGCTCTCATGGGTCTCTCTCCATCTGTGCTCCCATGGGTCTCGCTCCTTCTGTGCTCTCATGTGTCTCTCTCCTTCTGTGCTCTCATGGGTCTCTCTCCTTCTGTGCTCTCATGGGTCTCTCTCTCCTTCTGTGCTCTCATGGGTCTCTCTCCTTCTGTGCTCTCATGGGTCTCTCTCATTCTGTGCTCTCATGGGTCTCTCTCCTTCTGTGCTCTTATGTGTCTGTCATGGTGTGGGTTTTATTTTTGTATTTTTGTTTTATTTTGACATTGTTCTGTGGTTTTGGTTTTAGTTGTACTTCCTGTCTTGATTGTCTGCCCCGCCCTGATGTGTTTCACCTGTGTCTGTGTCTATATGTACCTGTGCTCCTCTCCCCATGTTGCTGGTCCATTGTGTTGTTCATGTCTTTGTCTGTTCTGTTCTGCCCTGTTCCTGGTTGCTTGTGTTTTTGGATTTTTGAGTTTTTTTCATCTGCACTTTTTTTTATTCATCATTAAATTACTTTTTTTGGCATTCCTGCAATTTTGGGTCCTCATCCTTCCCAGCACGTGACAGTGTCTCTCTCATTCTGTGCTCTCATGTCTCTCTCGTTCTGTGCTCTCATGGGTCTCTCTCCTTCTGTGCTCTCATGGGTCTCTCTCCTTCTGTGCTCTCACGTGTCTCTCTCCTTCTGTGCTCTCATGGGTCTCTCTCCTTCTGTGCTCTCAGGTTTGTGTTGGAGCAGTATAACGCTCTCTCGTGGCTCACCTGTTCTCCGGCCGCTCAGGATCGACAGTCGTGTTTACCAGTTCACCTGCTGGTCCTCATCCAGATGTACAACGCCATTCTCAACATGCTATAGCCTCCATGGTCTTTCTCTCTGGTCTCTCTCTCTGTTATCTCTCTAGTTTCTCCGGTCTCTCTCTCTGGCCTCTCTCTCTGGCCTCTCTGGCCTCTCTCTCTGGTCTCTCTCTCTGGTCTCTCTCTCTGGTCTCTCTCTCTCTGGTCTCTCTCTGGTCTCTCAGAGCACAGCAGACTCCGGGAGCAGTGATCCTGCCCTCCCTCCCGTGGCCACCAGAGGGCGCCACAGCACTACAGTTGGAGTGACGGTTCCTTCATCACAGACCGTGGGAAAAACACTGTAAAATAATGAATGGACTTTAACGTTTACGCTTCTTTTGTAAAAACCAGCATCGAACATAAATGTTTGTACGAAAATGTTTGATCCTCACAGATGCAAACCTTGGAAAGGGACTTGAACCTATCGTATGAGCTCCAGCGGGAGGTCTTTGATACAGCACTTTTTCTTTATTTCCTCACGGTGTAAAAGCGACACACGGGGAATCTCTGACCTGTTTATATTGTACAAAATATATTTACAGACATATATTTGCAACTTATTTTTAATATTTAAATCCAGCAAACGAAGGCCTTGTCCAAACATGCAAAAACGGAAATGTTGTCTTTGAGATAAATGTAAAAAGGACATATTTTTGACAGTATATAAATGTTATAGAATCTGCTTTATAAACACTTCCTGTGGGGTTTAGGCTCCGCCCCTTTTCCACACGTTAGAGTAAAAACCGCGGACGTCGATAATCAATGTATTTTTTGATACAGAAACATTTCACTGAAGTAAAAACACAATCAGAACAAAGTGTGTGTCTCGAACAGAAGCAACACAAAGTAACACAACAGTGAACAGCTCGATCCCATTGGCTGAGTGATGTCACATGTCCGGCATGTTTGTACTTCATCTTTACTTCTGTTGAATGTTTGAAGTATTTGTTGCTGTATTTTTCTACATCTGCAGTTTTCTTTCACTGCGAGGCCCAGAGTCTGTCTTTATGAAGCCACTTTTACACTTTTACTAAATTATTTAAATAACTGGAAACACCTGGCGTTTGTGTCTGTTTGTTCAACTGGACTGAGGCTGTAGACCCAGGACTGAGGCTGTAGATCCAGGACTGAGGCTGTAGATCCAGGACTGAGGCTGTAGATCCAGGACTGAGGCTGTAGATCCAGGACTGAGGCTGTAGACCCAGGACTGAGGTAGAGAAATGACGTAGAAGAGGAATAAAAAACTTGTTGATGAAGCTAATCTGGTATTAGCAAAGCCGAGGGCCACAGGAGGAGACACAACGGTCCGCGATTGGCCCCGGGGCCTCAGGTTGTAGCCTGGCTCTGCCAGACTATGTAGTTCCGCCATGCTCCACCAGAGGTGTTTGGAGCATGGCCCTACTACATGGTCTGGCAGAGCCAGGCTGCTCAGTTGGACTTGTCTGTGGTAAAGTTTATGATCTGGTTTTTCTAATTCCTCAACAAAAGGTGTGAATGTGAATCTACCGCAATAACTCCATCATCACCAACAACACACCCAGTGCTGCATTTGACACAATAGACCACAGCATTCTACTGCAGAGGCTAGAATGTGATATAGGTCTTAGAGGAACAGCCCTTGGCTGGTTTAAATCCTATTTTATCGGATCGGTATCACTAATGTTTGCATTACTTTCTTCTTGTCCTCTGTGATATGCTACGGTTGTTTTACTGTTGTATGCTACATTGGTCACTAGATGGGTGAAAACGGCCCCTAAAATCAAGGGTCGTTTTAAACAGTTTAATTACACATGTAATTATGATTAAGGCAAGTAGGGATAAGGGCACAGCAACTTCACATTGTAGAATTCTCCAAAGCTCAGGTAATATATGGCGCGTAACTTAACATGTTACCCAAATTAAAGTATAAGGAAGTCTTTATATGACGATACAAATGTTGGAGGTGGCCCAATGTTAATTCTGCCATACTCGCACAAACAGTAAGGGTATTAGTAAATCAATGGAGTACTAGGGAACCAAAATAATATTATGAACTCACCTAATAAAGTTTATTTACATGATAGCGGTTTTAATATTAAAAATTCATACTCTATCTTTTTATGTGGGTGTGTGTTAAAAACAGTGTAGTTTCATGCCAATATTCTCTATGACTCTGTGACGTGAAAAGGTAGAACTGGACTAACAAAGTATGTGGTACTTATTTTTCCACTAGTGAACCATTCTTTCCAAAGCTTAAATGTCTGACTTTGACATTGCCTATATTGGGGCTGAATAAGAAGGATATAGAGTAACGTTTCAAAACAAAACTAGGTATATGAAACATACTTTTACTTGACTTCAGTCTCGTTAGCTGTAAGTGTTTACCTAAGCATTTTAATTTAAAACATACATTAAACAGAAAAACTTTTAAGTAAGGCAAAAATGTATTTAGCGCTAACAAAATGGTGACAAAGAACAAAATGGCAGACAGTTTCTTCAGGGAATAGGGAGCATCATGTGCCGCTGCAGTGGGAACGCTTCATCGGCCACAAAGACATAGGGCTGGGGCCTCTTGGTCAGCGCATGGAAGGCACTGGTTCAGGAGGCAGCCGGAGAGTTCCTTCCACAGGGCCGTACCAAAGGCAGAGTTGCCAGGATCCCCCCGTTGTGGTTGCCTTATCCCCCAACGATCAACCACGCGAATGCGGTACTGGGCGTCCCACCAGCCGAGGGAGCTCCAGGGAGTGGTAACCCTTGTTGTTGTAGAAATAGGAGCCTGGTTCGGAGGGGCCTTCATGCGCACATGTTTACCATCCACGGACCACGTGCACAGAGGAAAAGTTCCAACGCCTCTCGAAACTCCCTGCTATTGGAAAGCGCACAGTCGTCTGTGGTGGGAACCGCTTTGAACCCCTCCACCAGAGAGTCCCAAGATGGCTCGATAACTACCTCGGGACGAATTTGAGACAGTGGAACACCGACCCTGAAGCTGCTCCCGTTGGTAGTATACGTATCCCAGTGGCAAGGTACCTAATATAATAAAAAGAAAGACATTAATTGAATGTGAACATGGATTGGAGTGACAAATGTCCCATAAACAATAGGACAGGTGCTCCGTGGTGACTGGTCTGTGAAAGGCGCTATTACATGAAGAATAGACACCAGAAACACAGAGAGAGACAAGGAAAACAGACAAGAAATAAACACACACAGACAGATCGTTCCACCCTCACCATGGTGTGGAATGATTGGAACAAAATCTCAACTCTGAAAATTGTAAAGCGCTTTGGGTGACCTTGGTCTGTAGATTGCGCTATATTAATAGACACATTACTTACTTTTAAAGAACACACAGAGACAAAGGACACCACAATCAGACCGAACACACACACATAGACAAAGACACACACTATAACAGACCGAGCACCACACACAGAGACAAAGACACACACTCACATACACAATTACCTGACCGTAAGGGTCAGATGGAAAAAGGCGCTTGCAGGAGAGATGAAACGTCTGTAGTCGGTGTCTTGGTGAGAGAATTGTGCGGTACCTGCCCGGCCAAACTGGTCATCAAACTGGGCCACGTGAGACGGATAGTGCCGCTGAAATCGCACCTCATCCAGCCGCAGCTCTTGTATACAAATGGTGGAACTCTGCATCTCTGACCGTCTCTGGAGGATATCCGTTGAACCCCAGACACGCCGCACATCGTCAAGACGTTGTCAGTACTCTATGAACCAAGTAATACGAACGTTTGCTGCCTCGCCTGATTCCGCCTTCTTGTTAGTTGCTGGGAATCTGGAAAGCCCGCCTATACACCTCACGCTTCCGGCGGGGGAGTGTAGTGAGGTGGGGCGGGGCTTGTGTTCCGTGCGTGTTTGGCGTGTGCAAGCCTCTGCTCTGAAAAACTAGAGAATGCGCGTCTGGTAAGTGGGCTGCTGCGTTTTCAGCGTTTTCGGTATGAAAGACCATAAGGGAGGTCGGGATTGAACGTCTTATCCAGTATATGGGGGTCATTGTTTACGTCCAGATGCGCACCTTGCACAGGAAGTCGTTTGGACGTAAATAAACGGGTCACGACCGACCGACTCGATCTATTGACGTCATGGAGGTGGTAGTGGACGTCGGATGTTTAGTGGGAAAGGATTCTTCAGGGATATGCAAAACATAGTCCTTTGTCTCATAAAAAGTCCACTCTGTCTTTGTGAACGAGCTGCTGGATCTTCCTGCAGGACTCCAGTGCATGGTTGCTATGACAATATGGGCATGGTGGCTCAAAAGCATTGATTGGACTTTGCACAAGATGTTTAGATGCGAGGACTTGTTTTGATTGATTTTGGTCCACAGCTACATGAGTTGCAAAACTGCTTCTTTTTATTCCACTTTTTGTATATTTAAGTGTGTCTTTAAGATTTTCCACTTTTTGTGTTACACTTTTGTCCTGTAAGTTACCAAAGAGAGGGTCTGTGGCAATCTTTGCTTGGCGGTCAATAAAGCAAACAAGATCAGAAAATCTTGCTCTTCTTCCTCTTTGCTCTTTTATGTTGTATGCCTTGTTCCGCCATCTCTCTCTTATTTTGAAGGGTAACTTTGACACAACAAGCCTCACGTTTGTGGGATTGTCCATTTCCTCCATGTATTCAACATCCTCCATAGTGTTCATGCACCCGGTGAGGAACAGTGAATACGCACTCATGGCTTTCCCATCTTTTGCTCTTATGGGGGGCCATTGCAGGGCTTTTTCCATGCATGCACTTGCAATAACCAGCTCATCTCCAAAATGCTTTTCTAAGAGCCTTTTAGCCTCTTTGTAGGCCTTTGTGTGGGGCATGTGTTCACAACTGCGCACAAGCTCTTGTGGTTCACCTGCTGTATACTGTAACAGATAATACAGTTTGTCAGATTCATCATCAGTCTTTATTTCTATCGTCTGTTCAAAAGCTCTGATGAAACTTTTATAGGACAGTGGATCACCTTTAAACACTGTTACTTCTTTTACAGGCAGTTGTGACAGTTGGGTTTGTTTCACAAGAATCT